TATACAGTAATGTAAAATGGATTTTGCAATCTTCCTATCCAATATTAATCCACACCTCATACATTTAAGCAATTTGAAAAGAGGGTAATATAAGAGTAAAAGAAATTTCAAACCTTCCAAAGAATGTTGAGTTGGACAAAAAAATGGGTGAGAGGAATGACAGTGCACCACTCGGGGGCTGCCTTTACCTGAGAGGGTGAAGCAGGTGTTGGGTGACACAAGATAACATATTCCAGGATAGAAAGAGCGACTGACTGAAAATCCTGAACAGCACGAGAGTATTGCAAGGATGCTACTACACCACCTCAAGAGGACGCATGACAGCTTGATAAACACGCATGCATTACAGGACAATATCTAATTTCTCTCCTTTATAAATAGAATTGAACTTGGATTAGAACAGAAAGTAATAAAATTGAAATGAGATTCTCATGTACTCTTTTGTATAATTGCAGAAAGTTCAAATTGAAAAATTACAAGCTACTATTTCTGTTTTAAAGAAAAATACAGAGAGGTTGAATATGTTCAATCAAGATCTAAGAATCTTGGTCTGATTGGAACATATATAACATAATTGGTACATCCATAATTATACAAGGAAAGATTAGAAAATGCAATCAAGATAATTGCTACAAATAGGGATAGAACCAAATATTTATAGTCGTTGGGAGTATTCCTCCTACAACATCATTCAAGAAGTCATTTATGGTGTATGGAATCTTGAATGAATGTTGTGATTGCTGCTGTCCATGAGAATGTTGCCGTCTGCGAGCCGTAAAATGTGCTATCCTTGTTTAATTGTTTTACAGATATGGCTTCCATTGTTGGACTTTGTAGCAGTATTTGTTAAGATATGTTTTACACCCTTTTCCTAGTTAATAGTTGAATAAGTTTAGGTCTAATTTTTTTATTATTGCTTATATAGGTTATCGTTTGCTTCCTTTCAAATTATGTTTCATCCTATGTTTCGGGGGATATTTACTTGCTTTTGGTTAATTCTAGCATGTGAAGTCTAACTAATTACTGCTTGAGCATTGGTCTTTTATTCTAAATGAAGATTCATCAAGTGGGGACATGGGTAAATTAATCACAGTGGGTCAAAGAACTTGAATAGCGCAAACCTAGAAGCATGCCTAGAGGTGAGCATGGGAACCCGAAAAACCGAGCCGACCGACCGAAACCGACCGAAAAGAGGTTAGTCGGTCGGTCGGTTTTACACATCGTCGGTTCGACGTCGATTTTGGGGTTCCCAAACCGATTTTGTCGGTCGGTCGGCAGCCGTCGTCAGACGATACCGACCGACCGACCGACTATGTAATATTTATATTGTAATCTTTTTTTTTATTAACAAAAGTAAAACAAATATTTTTATTTTAGGGTTTCAAAACATCTGAATTTCTTTTTAGTTTTCTGTTTTCCTTTTCTCCCACTCCCAATCCCTCCCTCACGACTCATTCTCTATTCTCTCAGTCTCAGCCGCTCGTCGCCCCCTCACCCGCTCGTCGCACCTTAGCCCATCGTCGCGCCT